ACAAAATCCTTCCCATTCTTCAAGGCTAAGAACAAGTGCCACCTCATTCATCATGCCTACCCCAATGCCCTTGCTATAGTCTCTCCTTCTAAACTCCCTTAGTCTTTAAAAAATAACACTAGTATTTATATAGCATTTTAAAGTTTGCAGACAGCTTTACAAATATGACCATGGATGATAGGTGTTATTAACCTCATTTTATAGATGAGGAAAATAAGGAAGAGGTTAAATAGCTTGACAGGGTCTTCCTTACTCCAGGTTCAATGGTTTATTCACTGTGCCACCCAGTTGTCTCCATATTTTATTCCACTCAAATTATGATTTGTATGACCATGACATAGAAACATACACATTTATGTATATTCCTTGAAGAGCTGTATAAATGTGAGTTATTATCATTATTATTTGTACTGGTCCATGAACTGACACTGGTCAACTCTATAACTAATTTTTTTTTTTACTAGACCTACTAAATTTTTACTTTTCATTACTAGACTATAAACTTATTGAGGATGAGGACTGTGTTTTATTCAATGTCTTATTTCATATGTTAGTCGGCACAGTATTTTACACATAAAAGGCACTCAATAAATATTTATTAAAAGAATGCACAAAAACTACTGTCCAGTGAATAACTAATAAACTCAAGATTAGTCTGAGTTAGCTTTGCCAGAAGAGTTGAGAGAAGCAAAATACAGCCTCCCTTTATCTTTTTTTTTTTTTTTTGTGCTACAAGTGTGTAGTCTTCCTATTTGGATAAAAGGATAAGATGAGAAAGAATTAAAATGATTTTTCTTTCGGTGTATATAGGTTCTCTTTCAAGATAATATGATAACCTCTCTGCTGCACTGAAAATCTACTTTGTAATCAACTTAGTCTGAATTTTCCACGAGGTGATTTTTCATCATACTTCCATGTAAATAGGCAGGGTTACGTTTATGGGCAAATCATATTCCAAAAATCCATTTGTAAGTCAGTTTTGGTACTAGGAGGACATTTTCCCACAGAAGTGGAGCCTATATAACTCATCTAAAATTTGGTAGAACTGTAGTTCTGAATAATAAATAGTCCAAGCTCCAAGATCAAGGTTACATGGCATATAGTAGAGAGAAAGAATAGGAAATAGAGAATAAAAGCTCCCTGGTGGCAAGGATTATTTCAGTTTTGGTTTTATATCTCCGGTGCCTAGTACTTTGCACGTGATAGGCATTTGAAAAGTGTTTGTTAAATGAATGAAGAAAAGAGAAAGAGGAAGGAGAGAAGGTTGATGTTGAGTTGTAGAAAAGGAGAAAAGGGAGTATCCTTTTCATATTGAAGGAGTAGTCCTGGCTCATGTTTTGAAGTTGGCAATTTCTTCCACCTACGACATGTGAGTTCGTGTCCTAAATACCCACTGCACATACTACACATACTTTACACATTTACTGCTCTATACTACTACTATACTACTCTACACATAGTTTCCCTGTTTCTATAAAGTATACAGTTGTGAGATTATCAACTTTTTCTCTCTCCTACCCTAATCAAAATTTTCATTCCTTCACTGCAGCTAACTTCTTTAAATTGTTAAGATGAAAGCAACCAGACTTAATTAAATTATACAAAAAGCTGAATAACTACATACCTAGAGGAATTTGCATTTGCTAAAGAAGAGACTTGTTTAATGACTCTAATTGGTGAAATACTTTTAGGCAGGAGGCATGCTCATTCATAATAGGCAACCTCTAGCAGTATTCCCTAGCCCAAAGTATACCAGTAAATATCTAAATTCTCTTCTGTTCTCAGCAGTCTCAAAGCCAAGGCTCAAGAGATGATGAATACAAACCAGGTGATGGAAAGAACAGAGGGTGGGAGAGGCATGATTTTAAGAAGAGGATTAGAAAAAGAACTCTGTATTTTTGTTTTTTAAATTTTGGAAGTGTTAAGATATAAGAACCTTTGGTTTTATGGACCAGTAGAAATTGGTTATCAAGTCAACTAATGTCAGTTCATGGACCAGTGGAAATCACAATAACAACTCACATTTTTATAGTACCTCAAGGTTTGTGTATTTTATTTCATTTGATCTTCACAACAACTCTTTGAGGTACGTGCCGTAATTATCCCTATGTTACATTGTTCAGCACAGTACCTGGTACACAGTAGGAGCTTAATAAATGCTTGTTGACTTAACGATGGGGAAATTGAAGCTCAAAGAAATTAAGTGATTTGCACAAGGTCATATAAGTGTATGAGGCAGGCTTTGATCCCAGGTTTTCCTGACTCCAAGCCTAAAATTCTATCTAGTACTCCAGGAAAGAAGCAATAAACTTGAGTAACTTGGGGTGAGTTCTTCTCCATTATTTCTACTTCATGATTTCATTCCTTTATTTAGAACTCTTACTGCTGAGTCATTTTAGTAGTACCTGATTCTTTGTGAACCCATTTGGGGTTTTCTTGGCAAAGATACTGGAGTAGTCATTTCCTTCTCCAGCTCCTTTTACAGATTAGGAAACTGAGGCAGAGCTAAATGATTTGCCCAAGGTCACATAGCTAGTAAGTGGCTGAGGCCAGATTTGAACTCAAGAAGAAAAGTCTTCCTGATTGCAGGCCCAGTCCTCTATCCACTGAGCCGCCTTAGAACTGGTTCTTAAAAAAAGTTCAAGTCCTTTTGCTCATTCCCACAATACCCATCTCCCAAGAGTTCCTATGGCAGGAGCAGCCAGGTCTCCTGTGGAAAGATGGATGTGAGCTTGAGGAGTAGACAAAAGAGTACTTATTTTTATGCCCACTATATAAGAGTTGAGGATTGTCTAGGCTCCTTTTTAAGTTTATCATGAAACATATTTTTTTTTGTTGAGCATCAGAGCTACTTTCTATTTTTCCCCATTCATGTCTTTGGCTTCGGTCTGGTATTCAAGGAAAAACGCTTGCAATGAAATATAATCCAAACTTATTTGAAACTACTGCCACTCATTGTGATAAGATACTCTATTATTTAATAAAATTCTGCCACCATCCCTTTTTAGCCATAGCATCTAAAATCCTTCTCTTCCTTCCAGCTGGAATGAACCATTTACCATCCTCCATGCTTTGCTGCTGACATGGCAAGCCTCATGCTATGCTCAAAATGCCCATTGCTATCTCCATCTTTTGAATTCCTACCTCTCTTTTTAAAAACCCATCTAAAATGCAAGGACCTCCATGACATGATTACTGATAAGTACAGCCATTAGTGGCATCCCCCTGTGGACATCACACAGAAGTTTGTTTGCATGTCTCTGGTGCACTTGTGTTATTTGAATTATTTTAATATATCTATTATAGGTCACATCCCATTCTGGATCAGGGAGTTGTTAATCTGGGGTCCATGAATTAAAATATTTTCCTAACTATATTTCAAAATGATGTTTTCCTTTTTAATTCCATGTATCTTCTTTTATTAATTTAAAAATATTCTGAGAAAGGGTCCATAGGCTTCAACACCCTCTTAAGGGGTTCCATGACACAGAAAATCTGAAGAGTCCCTTTTCTAGACTATAAACTTGATAAGGGCAAAGACTATGTCATACCTACATTTTCTATTTCACCAGTACCCAGTAGAGTACTTTAAAAAAATGTCTTCTGACTTGATCTGAATTCAATTGGAATACATATGTATATAATTTATATAGTATATTACATAATTTAATATATTACATATATATTACAACACATGTTTACATCAATCTCTCCATTCATTATCTATCTATATATCTATTTTTCTCTCTCTCAATCTATCTCATATACAGCTTAAACCTGATTAACTTCAAAGTCAGATTTATTTTAGTTCTCTGCAGTTTCAATTAACAGAGATTATACAGGGTGTCCCTAAAATTTTAGTGCAATGGAATGCCTTGTATAAACTCATAACACTTAACTTGTCAACTTTCTTTTTGGTCCTTGTGAATATTTCCAATTACTGGTACATTAGTGTCATCTGAAGTCTGTATGTGTTGACCTTGCCTTAACGGGAGAACATAGAAATAGCAGAGAAACATGAAAGGGGACAGATCTCTTGCCTGGTGTGAGAACTCACTAAGCTATGCTACACACCATCAAATGACATTAATTAGAGGCAATTTGGGAAAACCAGATAGAGATCCTTTGTGATCTCTGGGACTGATTTTGCTCATCTGTAAAGTGAACAAGTTGAACTCCATGGCATCTAAGGTGCCTTCTAGCACTAAAATAATGACTTTAGGGTATGTAATACCATTGGTAAAAGGAACTCTTCATGAAGAAATTCCCTCAACTACTGCATATCAGAATCTATTCTTCAACTTGTAACCTTAGAGAAATTCTGACGGCACTGAGTGTTTAAATGATTTTCCCAGGTTAACACAACTAGTATGTATTCAAGGTAGGACTTTTAAACACTTGGTCTGTCTGAATCGAAGGGCTGCTCTGTATATACCACTGTACCAAGCTGCCTCTAATTAATGGCATCATTGCTCAGTTATTTCAGTCATGTTCAACTCTCCACAACCCCATTTGGGGTTTTCTTGGCAAAGATACTAGAGTAGTTTGCCATTTCCTTCTCCAGCTCATTTTATAGATGAGGAAACAGAGACAAACAGGGTTAAGTGACTTGCCCAGGGTCACACAGCTAGTAAGTGTCTGAGGCGAGATTTGAACTCAGGGAGATGAGTCTTCCTGATTCCATTAGATACCATCAAATAACAGTCCTAGATACTAAACTTTAAAATGATTTGTAGCCTCATTCTCAATCCAAGATAGTGAATTATTCCCTTTGGTGTTTCTCAGTGGCATTCCCTATGGTGTCTAAACATTCCCTTCAGAGCAGGATCAATACGCACACACTACTGGTGTACGTAGCAACAAGCAGGATTCTTTTTTAATGTAGTGACCATTAATACTACATTTACCTTTTCCACTTCTTCAGTTTCATTTATAATTAGAGCCAAGGACAGTGGGTCTCCTGATTAAATTAAGAAATGAGCCAGATTGGCAGTACTTACTAACAACATTAGCTTGTCCAGTAAAGATAGTATACTGAAGCTCATATGAAACCACACTAAATTCATCATCGGAGGTCCAGTGCACAGTGATGGTGTCGTACGAAGCAGTACAGAGTTCTTCTCTAATTGTTGGAGAGTTGGGAGCTGTTTGAAAATAAGAATGAGATATGATTAGTTAATTGATTCACCTGAGACCAGAATGCCAGTGCAGAATGGAGGTTTCACAATAAAGATCAGTCCTCCATAGACATTTACCTCTACCAATACCATTGCAACTGAGTTCAGGAGATTTTCATCAAAGTCAAACATAGGGATCTTTTCTTTCTTTCCTCTTTATAGGCTGCCTGGGGAAGTCCAGACATACCCTTACTGAACTAGGAGATCAGTTTACCATTCCATTAGGAAGAAGGAGACAAACTACTAGAATTTTTCTGGCATGTAAAGGGAAAAATCTGGAATAAAGTGCAGAAATATCATGATTATGCTTATGTGAGATCTACTGGAAAGTGATTGAGCAATATGGAAAAGTGGATTTCTCACTTTACTGTGTATCAAGGCATCTTAATTTTTTTTTTGGGTGTGTTAAGGACACCTTTAGATATATGGTGAAACCTGTGGGCCCCTTCTCAGAATAATGTTTTCAAATGCAAAAATAAAGCACTTAGGATTACAAAGTAAAACAGTTGTACTGAATTTGGTTATCAAAAATATATTTTTTAAAAACCCAATGCATGGACCATGGGTTAAAAATCCCTGCTTTAGGTGTTTCCTTTTGAACTACACATCACTTATCAGATGATGTTTCCAAAGGCAAAACGATAGCATTAATGCATTTATATCCACGGATTTCTTCTCCACTCCTCCCAATCCCCATCTCACCCTACAGAAAAAGAAGTGAAGTGGCATATAAAGCATGATGGGCAATCTTAGGAGATGGTTATTCCTCACTGGATGGATAATCATTTATTGGGTAATCATCACAAAAGCAAAATTTAGAGCCAGAAGGGACCTTAGAGGACAATTACTTTATTCCACCTTCATCATTTTACAGTTGAAGAAACTGAGACCTTGACAGGCTAAGGAACTTGCCCAATGTCACACAGTGAATGGCAAAGCAGGGTTATCTCACCATGACCAGAATGCCAGACTTGGAGTCAATAAGACCTGAGTTCAAATCCTCCCTCAGACACTTTCTAGCCGTGTGACCCATGTGCAAGTAAACCTCTCAGTTATTTTCTCTTCAAAATAAGGATAATATCACCTACCTTACAAAGTCATTTTGAGGGGTCACATGAGATAATGAATGCGAAAGATTTTGCAAGCCTTAAAGTGTTATGTAAATGGTAGCTAAAATTATCTTTCCTTGCAAATATATCTGTCTTTGCAGGTTCCCTCTTCCTGTGAAGGGTACCATCTACTCACTCAGACTTGCAACTTCTGCGACCCCTTCAAAACACTGAAGTGGAGAAAATGCTTTAATTCCTACTGGTGATTCTTAAAGAAAGACTTTTTATCATAACTAATACTCATGGCTATTTTCATGGGTAAGAAAACAGAACAGATGAAAGACTTTTTTCATTAACAGTAGTGTTTTTGAAACTTGTCCATAAGTAATCAGTTATGAGTTTAAGTAAATATAAGCACTTTGGAAGTGGAATAATAAATTCCAAAGGTTAGAACTTTTGTCTATAACATTTATCTGACCTAAGGCATTTCTTTGCTCTAGATTAGGGCTTGTTAATTTGGGGTTCATGAACTTGTTTTTAAAAATATTTGATAACTGTATTTTAATATAACTGCTTTTTTTGCAATTTTATGTATTTTATTTTATGCATTTAAAAATATTCCAAGAAAGGATCTATAGACTTCACCAGACTGGGCTTGATAACTATTTAAAAAAAGATGGCTATAGTTCTAGGAAAAGGCTAATGATACCTGATCACTTCAGAGTTTTGTGTAGAGTTCTTGTGGAGGCCAAAATGCTTATGAGAACTTTATAATAAACAGGGCACAAGGAATGATACTTGAATCATAGATACATTTTAAGTGCAAAATCCATAAAGTGTTCTCTAGAGTATGATTTTAAATTATCCATCAGGTGAAAGATACAAATCCAAAATTCACCACAATGAGATACTTTATATTTGACTATAAATCAAGGAATCCACTGAAGAAGTGCATTCCATGGTAGAAGGGCCAGGTGCAATATGGAATTTGTTAATTATTTCCTTGGTCTCTGTAGGGATAGTTTCCTAACATTAATTCTACCCTCACTTTAAATCATTCATTGACTCATTCTTATATCAACAATTAAAGACATTTTCTCCATTTTACAAAAATATATACAGATGCATATATGTATTTATAGATGCATCAATATCTATATATGTATGATTGAGTGCAAGGAAACATTATCTGCAAAATAGAAAGTACTGTGTGACACATGGTAACAGCAACAACTAGGGAAAGAATGTCACCTTTCTGGTTTATTAACCTGATATGTCACTTTGAGGCAAGTCACAAGTTAAAATAATAGCCTTCCCTTTCAGAGAAAGGCATGCTTGCTGGCATTAGACGTTACAACCTTTCTCTCATCATAGGATTTGGGAGGAAATTATTTTGTAAATTGTCAAGCACTATGCCCAAATTTAAGTTCTTATTCTTAAGTGACTGGAAATCATTTAATGGGTAAGGACTTTGTTGTTTTGAAAATTGTTAGATATTTCACATATAATGAGTATCATGAAGCCAATTTCAATGTATAATGATGTAGTACTAGAGAAACCATCTTTACCACTTTTGCACACGGAACAGTAGCAAACATTGCATAAACACTTCATTTCCGTCTCACACATGTCTGATAAACTATTTGGACTTGGCAGCTTTAGTCCAACATTGTGTGTTGTAAGGAAGGTCTATGTTATGTCTAGAAATAAACCAAAAGTCCATCTGGAATTGATGGTTAACAAGGTGTAATTGACGGGGAAAGAGCTCTTTAAAAGGTATCCAGATGTGCACATTAGTATGGGATAAACACCAATCATTCTGAATGGAAATATGGCTTTGGGAACATTGATCTCAGACACATCAAACATATGCCAAGGCAAGAGGATAATCTATGGTTACAGTGGCCATATTTTCCAAACCCAGAATTGAAATACATGGTCTAGCAAAGAAAATCCTTTATGCTAAGCCTTGGTAATAGTACACTTTTCTTGAAATAGCATTCTGCCAGCACATACTGTTGCTGTATACATGAGGTGGTTTGTGCAGCTATTGAGGAATAAACCAATTTATTATTTTTCATATTTAACAGTTTTTATTATTTCAAAAATATATTAGAGTTAAGCCCTCAGCATAGAAATGGTATTAAGTTGCTGTAGGAAGGAAAAAAAACCCAACAACAACTCTGGTTTGGGTTGCAATTGGGAGTGATGCAGGCATCATGTTTAGGATTTCTGCTCTAGATGTTTCCAGAGTATCTCTTGTCTATCTATGCTTCCCCCATCTTCTACTGGTGAAATTTATTTTTTTGTATTCCAGTACAAGTCTTGACATTTGTCTCTACTGAATTTCATCTTATTAGATTCACCCCAATGATATAGATTGTCAAGATCCATTTCTGGGATTTCCATTGTCACCCAGAAGAGTAACTAGGCCAGACAGCTTTGTGTCACCTACAAATTTGCAAAACATATCATTTCTGCCTTAATCCAAGTTACTAAAAAACATTAAGTAGCATAAGACCAAGCAAAGCGCCTTGGGGGACTACCAGTGGATATTTTCTGCCTTGTAGACTTTGAACCATTAAATAACCACTCTCTAAGCCGAGCTATCCAACTAGTTCTGAAACCATCTAATTGTTATATCATTTTGTCCATAACTCTTGATATTCTCCGTAAGAATAAAAATAAAATAAAATTTAATAAAAGCTCTGCTAAAATCAAGGTAAACTATATCCACAACATTTCCTTTATCTACCTGTTTGGAAATCCTATCAAAAAAAGGAGATAAGTTAGCCTGGCATGACCTGTTCTCCTTAGAGTCATTTTTGATTCTTCCTTATCCTTCATTTCCCACATTCATTTCATTGCCAAGCCAAGATATTGTGCCAGGCACAATATCTTTAGTATCTCTTTTCCTCTTTGCTATTTCACTCCAACTGCCACTATTCTATTTCAAGGTGTGATTAACTCAAACCTGGATTATTTTAAAATAATCCATCCTTTTCCCAATTTTTCCATGCTTTTGCAATCCATCCTTTTCACAATTGATTTCTTAAAATACAGGCCAGATCACATCCCTTCTTTGCTTAAAAACATTCGATGCCTCCCACCTGTATACAAGATAAAATAGACATTCTTAAGGTTGACGGTAATGGCTCCATATAATCTAGCTCCAACTTGCCTTTCCAACCTCAACTGAGCAGAAGTAAGCAAGACAAAATTTAATAGAGATGAACATGAAGCCTTACACTTCTGTCAAAAATAAATAAATAAATAAATAAATAAAGGAGGGGCATTTAGCCTGGAGAAGAAACGACTTAATGCAATACCATGTTATTCTTCAAATACTGGAAGGGCTGAAATACGTATGAGATATTAACCTCATTCTGCTTGACTCTAGAAGCAGACTTTTGGCTCAACGTAAGGAAAGAACTTCCTAAAAATTAGAACTGATAAAAAGAAAAAAGGATCAGCTTCTTTTAGGGGTAGTTGAATTGACTGTTTACTAGAGATTTTCAAATGGAGGCTGGACGACCACTTCTTGAACACGTTGTAGACAGGAATCATGATTGAGCAGAGGTCCATCAGATTGATCTCTGAGGCCCTGGTCAATATTTATGACTTATGATTCTATTTTACCATTTCTCTTCTTGTACTCAAATCCATGAAAAAGAATTCCCAGCCCCTTGCAGCTCCCTTCCCCCACGCGTGTGTGTGTGTGTGTGTGTGTGTGTGTGTGTGTGTGTGGTGGGGGAGGGGTGGTTTCCAGAAGACTTAAATATTCTACACTCACTTCATTCCCTGCTGGTTGCCATCCTTTCTTTCCTTCAAGGCCTACAACAGTTGCTATTTTCTCTCTGAAAGCTGAAAATGATCTCTCCTTTCTTGAATTTTTGTAGCTGTGTGACCTATGCACTTATCACATTTTCCTTTACGTAGAAGTTTAATAATCCATATTCTCCTACTTGACTGTAAGCTTCTTGAGGATAGGGGTTATAAAATTTTTCATCTTTATATAGCTAAGGCCTAGCAGTTTCTTACACACAGTAGATACCTAATAAATGTGCATTGCCATGAAACACAAGTAGCATGGTATAGTAGAAACAGTAATAGCTTTGAAATCAGGGAATCTGGGTTGAAATCCTGCCTCTCACTCTGACTGCATGACCTTGGATAAGTTACTTGTTAAATAAAGGTGTTCAACTGAGGTGCTTTCCAACTCTAAAGCTAGTATACTGTGAAGTGAAGCAAATGCTTATCCATACCCCAGTGAACCTCCTCATAGGAGAAAAGTGGATCTTTTCTAAAAAGAAGTTGCTAGCAAAATAACATTGCAAATTCTACTGGTCAGTGTCCTTACTTACAATGTTTAGGTGTTTAGAAGTAGAGAAGAAGCATTTATGTATGTGACCAGAAAAAAAAAGTTTGGTATAAAAGGAAGTAAACAAGCATTTGTTAAGGGCTTACTATGTACCAGCACTGAGCTTGTTAAACCCTCACAATAACCAACCCCTGAGGGCAGGTGTATTAATATCCCCATTTTACAGTTGAAGAAACTGGAGCAGATAAAGCTTAAGGTATTTTGTCCAGGGTCATATCTAGCTAGTAAGTATCTGAGGCCATATTTGAACTCAGGCCTTCCTGACTCCAGGTCACCTACCTGTCTCACACAATCTCAATGAATCCAAATGTGATTCCTACTAAATTTACTAAAAGTCTTCACATGAAAGCTTTGAAACAAGGTGAAATTTCTGATCATTAGAATCATATTTCCATTTGATTAAATGTTGCTTACATCAACACTTAATAAAGGTGATTTGACTGGCATATCAATATATTTTTATTTCCTCATTGCTTTTGGCTGGGGATAGTGGCAGTGTGTATATGAGATGAGAAGTCCCTCTACTTAATATTGTGTCTTCTCCCCCCCCACCCCCAGTCCTAAATTAGACCTGCTTCCTTGGGGTTAAAACATACATGCACATCATGGCTGGAGGAAGTTTGAACTTTCTTTCTAATCCAAAGGTCTACTATTATTCAGGAGGAAAAAAAAATCAAAGAGTAGAGATGCAACTATGTGTAAAGATTGAGATTAAAAACATACAATACCTGTAAGGTAATCCAGACATTCTAGTAATTTCTTCTCTCTGGAAAAATCTAATGCAAAGGTATCAAAAGTGTCATTGAGGTTAATTTCAGGAATTAGAACCTGGGAAGATGCAGTTGCCATGGAGACCCTATGATAAAAGGAAAAGTTTTCAGAAACTTGGATAGCTTTCACATTCATTCCTTAGAATTCTCTCTCTCTCTCTCTCTCTCTCTCTCACACACACACACACACACACACACACACATATACACATGTAATAACATATTTAATCCCTCAGAATGGTACATACTGCTTTTACCCCTTAACTTGAAACAAAAGAGTTTAAGCATTAAATTCCTCTCCCCACCCTTTTCCTTCTTTGACAGAAAGGAATGGAATCCCCCCCCCCGCTTTTTACTGCTAAAGGAAGCTAAAGAATATTCATATTTTATGCTGCTCTGTATTTAACAGCTTGGCACTGTCAAATGCAGCCCCAGTAAGAAGCTTATTGCTCCAGGCAGTCTTTCACACATCTGTCTGAAAAACTGTTGGATTCAGTCTCCAGAAGTTCTCTACTTCAAAAGAAATTTATCAAAATGTAAAATCCATAAAGGACAAAATAAGGATTTAAAAAAAGCTCCCAGATATTGTTTTATTTTAGCCAATCACTTGCCTGGCTATCAAAAGTGAACATTTTCTGAATATTTTTAAAAAGGTAATTATTATTCAGTTCTCTCCTTTCAGCATGGGATTCTTTTTCATTCACTCAATGCATAAACCATGGGATATATGCATGAGCTTTCTCATAAATTCTCCTTATAGATGCACATTTTTTCCTATGCATTGAGGCTCCACTGAAAAGACTACAATACAAACTATTTCTAAAAATCGGCCTATTTGAGTTTTCTCCAGAGATGTGCAGTGATCTATCAATCATTACCAGTATTGTTGTGCCAAGTACAGTGCTAAGCACCAGTGATTCAGAGACAAAAATGAGATGGTCCCTGCTTTCCAGGAGATATTCTAGTCCATTTGAATGAATACACTGGAATGTTTTACTAATGCACAACACTGGCTGCATCAAATACATTAGTGATTTCCTTGAGAAAAGGACCATGACATACTGGACATTCTGCACTTCTCAAACTATGTTGTCCTTGTCATCTTTTACCCTTCAACAATTCAAGATATGAATTTCAATAATTAAACAATAATTTATTATGCATGTGTTGGGAATTTCAGCACTGGAAGAGAACTCAGATTGCTTAGTTCAAACCAGTGATTTTACAGATAAGGAAACTAAGTGAGGAACGGGTTAAGTGACTTGTCAAAGGTTCACACAGGTAGTTAGAGAAGCAGATCAGGAAGGAACTGAGGCAAACAGGGTTAAGGGACTTGCCCAGGGTCCCACAGCTAGTGAGTGTCTGAGGCTGGATTTGAACTCAGGAAGAAAGAGTCTTTCTGACTCCAGACTTGGTATTCTATCCCCTGTGCCACCTAAATGCTCTTAATAAATGGCAGAGCAAGGCTTTGAATCCTAGATCAGTGCTCCTTCTACAATACCTTCTTGCTACTTTTGCACTAGAGAAGCTGATATTCTATGCTTTTATTCCCAACAGGAGGTCACATTTTATTATATACATATCAAGACATTCAAATTCAACAAATGCCTGCTGCCTGACCTCTAACTGCAAAAACAAAGTGGAAAATTCAAAGACTTCATGCAGATCTGTAGCATGGATCAGTATAGAAATGTTATTGGATCTTTTGAACTACTTAAAGAGATTTTAAAAGGAAAAAAGACTGGTTCTATTATATTAATTATGTATAACAGGGAGTATTTGGCTGGGATAATGTGAAATTCACAGCATAACCTCAAACCCACCATTTTTGTCTACCAAGGCACACAAGACTATGGCATATGACAAGCCAGAACACTTGATTTCCCCTCCCAACCACTTCTGCAAACAGATGAGCTTACTCAAGACCTGTTTGTCCCAGTTGCTCTTAACTCATTTTCTCGGTGTCTCTTTGTCTCTATCTTTGGAGTAGCCATGGAATAGCCATAAAAATGAGTGAACTGAGTTCTATGAGTCTTCCTATCAGAAAAATACTTGCTTTCTGATAAGAGATCTGTGGCAACCTTGAGGGGGATGGACCATAAAAAGGAAAGAGTTCCTAAGGTTTAGGATAGAAAACTCATCCAAACAGTATCTGAGTTTTACTCCTGCTTTTAACATCTACTCATTGTTTAAATGTAGGAAAGATGCCTATCTCTGGCTAGGATTTCAAACCCTCTTTTGGAGTGACAAGCTAAGGAAATGCTGCCAAAGTCAACATTTCTGGGCATATTTTTATTTCCTAAATCCTCATTGCTTATTCCTTTCCCTTTCAGATAACTTATCAAAATCCATCAAACCTTTTACTAGTAGCTAGCATTCAAAATTTTATTCTTTGTTATTTTTCCTTTAGATCAAGTATTTCCTAATATCTTGGGGCATCTAAAGACATTATTTTTTTTCTCTGTATTTAATAGCATGTACTAGGAAATGGCACTGCAGCAAATTGATCCCTGGGATAGTAATGATAGATGTTAAAGGTTTTCAAGGCAGTTAAATCTTCCTACTTCTATCTAAAAAAATAGAATATTGAGAAGGACATGAGAGATTATCTGGTTATTTATAGGGGTTCTTAATGTGGGGTCTGTCAGCTTGTTTTAAAAATATTTTGGTAAATATATTTCAGTATGATTGATTTCCTTTGTAATTTTTATATTTATTTTGAGCACTTGAAAACATTCTGAGAGGGTTTCACCAGATTTCCAAAGGGGTCCATGATACAAAAATATTAAGAATGACGGTCCTAGTTCAATCCCCAGAATTTCTCAAATTATGCTCTACAACACTGGTAACAAACTCAAGTAGAAACAGATCCCTAAGAGCTTCAATGTTGAATTAGAAAACCACAAACATTATCCATGTTGTATTACATTTAAAAAAAATCTTGTTAAACATTTTTCAATTACATTTAAATCTGGTTAAGAGTTCTGGCAGCTTTGAGTCTGACACTTCTGTTTGACAGAACCCTGGGGTACCAGAAAGAAAGAAAAAAAGAAGTGTAACAGTGAAGTACAAAAACCAAACCCATCTACTTTGCTCTTAGTGTCTGCTACACTCCCTATGTTTTAAGATTAAGTGGAGAACATTGGAGAATGGTTGAAAATATAACAAAAGTGACATCTTACTAGTCTAGAATCAATCACCTAATGTGCCCAGTAATAATATATAGCATATAATTTGCAGATTCATTTGTCTTGGCAGAGAAGATGTGAAAGAATAACTTTCTTTTTATATTCTTAATCTTATGTTTTTACTATAAATATGTTTTTGTACTAGTTCTCAATTTGGCTAACTCAGCAAAATAAAAACATGAAGAAACAAGAATGCAGAAGTATTAATAATCGAACCTGAAAATGAAAAAAAAAATATCCACGAATGAAACTCGAGTACTGAATCCCAAATACAAGAGAACTGCAACTTTGACAATAGCTATGCACAATTTCAAATGAAACTGGGATGAGCTGTCATAATAACCCCAACTATTGGGTTAAGTGGAGGGGGAGGGGATGAAAATGATTGTCAGGCATCTTACAAGATTATGAATCATTTGTTATAAAATACTTATTGAAAGTAAATAATTGCATCCTCCTCATTAAATCATTTGTAATATCACTGATCTGAAAATACAAGATGTTTAAAAATTGCTTAATGTTATGCAGTCTGTATTTCAGTGCTTACAGGGGTGGTGAAGTTATTGCCCAGTGGGATACCCACCCCACGCCGGGGAATCTATCCATGTGGGGAATTGGGACTCAAATTCTGCCCATCTGTAACATTTACCCATTTGACCTGGTTTTGTCTTTTGTCTACATTTTTCTCCCACATGACAATCACTCAATTATTTGAAAATAGTTATTTGGCTTCCCTAGGCCTTTCCTTTCCCAAACTAAATGTAATCAATTTTTTCAACCAATCATCATACAGTATGGTCTTGAGTCTCCTCTGGACACATTCTGGCTTGTCAATGTCTCTATTAAAATGTGCTCAGAAGTGGCTAAAATATTCCAGCACAGATAGTCGGGTAGCTTGATTTCCTTGTTCTGGATACTATGGGTCTATTATTTAGAATAAGCCATTTTGGCAATTACTCATCATGTGTTTGTAGTCACTAAAACTTTGAAAAGGCCTAGCTTCAGATCAACAAAATTTGATAAACGTTCCTTGAGGGTATGAGATATGTTGCATTTATCTCTGTATCTCTTCCTATACCATACAGGGTGCACTGTGATTTTTTAGGTGTCTAAAATGCCATTTTTCAGCTCTAGATCCCTATCCATTAGTATGGAGCCTTGCATAAAGTAAGCACTTAACAATATTTGATGAATTTAACTCACTGAAAAACTATATATATATACACACAAAAGTACATACACATATATACATACACAAGTGTGTGCATACATATAAATACATATATGTGTGTACATGGAGAAAGACAAAGAGACAGACAGAGAAAAACAGAGACAGACAGACACAGAGAGAGAGAGAGAGAGAGAGAGAGGTTCACAATGCCAAAAACACTTTTTGGGGTATTCACAGGTATGTAATGCCTGAAAGTCTGAAACCTTTTTCTTGGGCTGCCAAGTATGTGCCAAGTGATGAAGAGAAAGCTCTTAAGTGCCCATATGGAGAAACCTAAGACAGAGATTAAATGAGAGGAGAGAGACAGAAAGATAAGGCAGAAAGAAGGAGGGCCCAAGAGACATATGGAGACATAGAGAAAGGTACACACAAAGAAACCTAGAAGCCAAAAGAAATGCTGAAATACAGAATCAAATAAAGAGCTTGGGGAAAAATTAAGAGATAGAGAAAGACATAGTAATAGAGAGAAAAAGAGCTTTAGAAAAAGAGACAAAGACTCTTATCAGCTCTTTATAAGCTCAATATTCTGGGGGCAAAAAAAAAGCCGCTAGTATACACACATCTGTGAAGTATGCCTGTCTAGTAGAAGAATGAAATTTTTGTGTCCATATTTGGGGAAAAAATGGTCACATGGAAGACAGGCCTAGCTCTATACACGCAGGTTATG